GGAACCTTTCTTGTTGCTCCCTTTTCCCATACTTTTTGTTCCTTCCATACAAGCGTATGTAGAAGGCTCAGTTTTTTTTTTTCCTCTTTGTCTGTGGTAGTTTGTTTGAATCCACCGGCTAAGTGTTCCTGCCCACTGCAGTGTACTAGGGAGACACAGATCTGGGCAGCCTCTGCTGAGCCCATCCCTCCAGATCAACCTAGTGAAGGCTTCACTGCTAGAGTGCACCGCCAGGTGCAGGGACCTGGTTTGGGCTAGCCTACAGGATCTTAGTCCATGGCATCACCAGGCCAAGTGCTCCCCACTATTCCCACTTGAGAGGGGAATATGTGACTAAAGTCACTGCAGGGCTGTGTTCCGGCTAGTCTGCCCGTTCCCAGAATGTTCTTTGTTGGAGCCTCCTAGTCTATGAAAGGGTCCCCATTTCACTCACTGCAGGTCGAGCCAGTCCCGCTCTCAATGCTGCCGTTTGGGCCAATTCCCGCTCTCAGAGCTTTGGCGTACCTCTCTCCCTGCCGTGCGGATTGGGACGCAGTATCGGCAGCAGGACATTCAAATCGCGGCTTCCAATGGCGCGGGATCCAGCTTCCACACTGAGATTTTATCTGTTCCTGTTATAGCATCAAGATTGCATTTCCAGTTGGTTTCTCTCAGCTTACTTTGTTCCTGGGTCAGCAGGGTACATCTCACCTCGCGTGGGACTCCTCACACGGCACCGCTGCTGGATTCTAAGCTGGTAATCTCAGAGAGCCTCTGTGGCTGCTGTTATTTGTCCACCATGTTCTCCTGGAAGTCCTATATACCTATTTATACAGGTATCATACCTATTTATATAGCATTTACAGCATTTAGTTATGTAAACAATTTAAAGTTGATTTAAAGTACATTGGTTATATGCAAATACTACATTCTTTTACATTAGGGACCTGAGGATCTGCAGATTTGTTTACTGTGGGAGTTCTGGGGCTAATTTCCCTGGATACTGAGGGTGACTTCACTAAATCCAGTAAAACTCAAATCACTTTGAAAGATAATTAATAAATAAACAAAAAGAATGATTTCTGGGCTAGGAATGTAGTTAGGCAGAGAAGCACATGCCTAGCAAGTGTGAAGCCCTGAGTTCAATTCCTCATACCAAAAAAAGAAAAGGAAAAGACCCCAAAAAATTTCTTAAGAAAAGAATTATTTCAAGATCCAGAGAACATGGTGGACAGATAGCAGCAGCTATGCAGGCTCTCTGCGAGACCCAGCTTAGAATCCAGGAATGGTGCAGAGTGAGGAATCCTAACCAAGAGGAGATATACCCTGCTGACCCAAGAATGAACTGGGCTGAGAGATACCAACTGGGAATGCAATCCTGGTGCTATAACAGGAACAGATAAAGCCTGAGCATGGAAGCTGGAGCCCGCACCATTGGAAGCCGCGATTTGGGTTTCCTGCCTCCACTGCTGCATCTGAATTGGCTCGGCAGGGAGAGAGATGCACAAAAGCTCTGAGAACAGGAATCTGTGAATGGAGTTAAGAGCTGGGCGGGCGGGCAGCCGTGCATCGACCTCTGGTGAGTGAGGGAAACTGGGACTCTCCCACGGTCTAGGAGGTGCCAACAGAGGACATTCTGGGATGGGGCCAACTTGCTGGAACAGGGCGCTGTAGTGACTTCAGTCACATATCCCCCTCTCAAGCGGGATTGGTGAGCAGTGCCTAGCCTATGTGACACTGCTGGCTGAGACCCAGTAGGCTAGCACAACCCAGGCCCCAGCGCCTGGAGGGGCACCCTGGTGGTGAAGCCTTAGGTAGGTTGACCTGGAGGGGCGGGCCCCGCATAGGCTGCCTGGTCCATAACTCCCAGGTGCACTGCGGTGGGCGGGAACACATAGCCGGTGCAATTCAATCAGACTGTGGCCGACAGGGAAGGAAACTGGGCCTCCTATATATGCTAGCATATATGAGGAACAAAGAATATGGGAAGAGGGAGCAACAAGAAAGGCTCCTCGGCCCCCAATCCTGAGAAACAGGCAATAGCACACACACCATCAATAGACATAAAAGGCTATCTCCAGAGCCTCATAGATGAGTTCAGGAATGAAGTTATTAATAACCTGAAGCAAGACAAAAGCAGAATAGTTAGAGAAATGCTAAGCACCACCCAAGAAAAAGCAGATGGTGGAATGGAAGAACAGAAAAAGAGGGGAGAATTATTTGATGGAGAAAATAGAGAACACATAGAATACGTGAAGCAGGTTCAAAGAGATTACCAGGAAACTAAAAACTCTATGGAAAACTGGCATAACAGCTTGAAAGAAACTAAGGATAGATTATCTGAACTGGAGAGCAGATTTGCAATATGGGAGCATGAAATGAAAAACTTCTTAAAAATAACAAAAAAATAAACAGCAACAATACAAAAACTAGAAGATGATAAGAGGATCTATAATTTAAGAATTAAGAACATTGGGGGCTGGGGATTTAGCTCAGTGGCATAAGCGCCTGCCTTGCAAGCAGGCAGTCATGAGTTCGATCCCTGGTACCGATAAAAAGGAAAAAGACAAAAAAAAAAAAAAAAGAATTAAGAACATAAGAGAAGAAGTGGGGACACAAACAAATGGACTACAAAAGCTATTCACAGAAATAATCCAAGAGAATTTCCCTAATTTAGCAAATGGTAAAGATACTCTGATATATGAGGCATACAGGACTCCAGCTACCTACAACCCAAATAGAGCTACACCCAGGCATAGAATAATTAAAATTCCAGAAATCCAATATAAGAACAGAATATTAAAAGCTGTCAGAGACAAGAAACAGATCACTTACAAGGGAACACCCATCAGAATTACAGCAGACTTCTCGGCACAAACCACCAAATCACAAAGAGCGTGGGGGGAAATAATTCAAGCTTTGAAAGATAATAACCTCCAGCCAAGATTGAGATATCCTGCACAACTATCCCTGGAAATTGATGGAAAAACAAGGTGCTTTCAGGATAAAGAGGCACTAGGGGAATATGCAACCACCAATTCAACTCTACAGAGAATACTGCAGGATATTCTAAAAAAGAAAAATACGAAGAATCCAGAAATAGTGGCAGAGAGGCCACAATGAATGGAGCAGAAAACAAAATGAAGAAGACAAACTGACAACTAATGATAGAAAAAGAGCTCAAGAGAAATGAGGCAGAGAAGATTGGATGATAGGAACAGCTATTTTGGAGAAAACGACGTCATAAGAGGTAGTGCTGATTTGGTATCATCTTATTTTGAAGTCCCATCAAGCTTTTGTTCTTCTGTCTCCATAGGTCTTAACATGTTGTATCTTATTGGATTTTATTATGTGTGATAGTATAAACAAAAACTTTTATAGACAAGGAGATTATACAAAAACCATAGTTCATTATCTGTTAGTTGATTCTAAATACCCTGCATTACTGTCATTCTCTTGAATGGTTTTACATTGTTTTGATATATTTGATGCTACAGTATACGAAGTTATACTCAAAGATCTCAAGGAAAGAGACAATATGGTAACTACTTTTATGTCGGGATTATCTTGTGGTGAAACACTATTTTGCTTAAATGGTTATGTTTTGATCTGCACTGTTTAGTTGTTATGCCCTCTTTTATTTCAATCTCCATTTTATTATTTACTTTTTTTATTTTTATCCTTTTAATTAAAGGAAAAATAAATTTTAAAAAAGCAGAATATATTATAGTAACCCACTCTGATATTTTATTAACTTGATTTGAAGCCCTGTATTGCTCTCACTATCTTGTTTTGACTGATGTTCCTCTATTCTGCTTTGCTTGATAGTACCAGGTTTGAAAGTTTAGGCAACAGCTGTGAAGATAGTGGGATTCATTATGCCGCCCATATTGGTTGACTATTATCTACTTTTGAAGACCTGTAATGTCTCCAATGTTTTGGTTTTGTTGGTTTTGTTCTTTACTGTTTTGTTCAATTTTATTATAATTGATGATATAGGCAATTCTATTTGAGATAGCGGGAAGCATTATGGTAACCATTGTCGATTACCTTGTTTTATGTTTTTACATTATCTATTATGTCCACCCTTTTGATTTAACCGACTCTGTTCTGTTAAGTCACATTTGGTTTTACTCTCTTCCAAAAAAAGTAATAAGAACTGTGGTAGCAATAAAACCCAAAATGTGTAATAGTCATTGTACAAAAGAGAGGAAAAGAAAGTGCTCTAAATGGTATAACTGCATGTATATTTAAGTGTATAAGATAGACAATGAATTACTGAGTTTTGTTGGATCATTGAACAGAACTGTTTTCAGTCTCACTGTTTGAATGTCCACTTTATATGCTTTAATCTTGTAACTTTAACAAATATTTCTAAGATGACAATATGTAATCCATTAACTAGTGATTTCCTACTGTTTATTTTTTTCTGAAATTCTGTATAACTTGTACCTTTTTTCTGCTTTTTTCCCTTTTTCTCCTTAAATAAAAAAAAAAGAATTATTTCTATAATGGGTATGGAAGTGATTCAACCTCATTTCTGAGAGGACGCTGTGGAGTTTCTGCTTCCCGTAGAAAGAAGGGAACCCTGGGCCGACAGCTTCCTGTAAAGGTGCCTCAGATCTGAGAGTACATAACATGAGTTACTGCGGGCAAAACATATTCTACAATTCACTCACTTATCCAACACTTACTGAATACCTACCTGTGCTAGATGCACTTCTGGTATTAGGATTTGGCAGAGAGTAAAACACACAAAAATGTCCTCAATTTCAAGGAGCTTATATTACACAGGGAAGGACAAACAACGAACTAAGTATGTCAGATAATTGATAAGGCTTAAGAAGAAAAAGTGGAGATGATAGTTTTATGAATGAAGCCAGTGACATTTGACATAGACCAGGGAAGGTGATGGAGGTCCATTGCATTCAGTGTTTATGGAACAAACATCCCTGAGAGAGGACTAGGGGAGTCTTCCTCAGAGATGATGGGTGCCATTCATGGTCTAATCTCTCTTTCAGGCAAACAAAGCAGATGCTGTGACCATTGATGGAGGTTTGGTGCTTGAGGCAAGCTTGGCCCCCTACAACCTGAAGCCCATCGCCGCAGAATTCTATGGGTCTAAAGATGGTGAGTTCTCCCTAGGCACCCAAGCTGTGGGTGTGACACTACAGCCACTGGGGCAGTCGGGGACTCTGACAGCATCCTCTTAACAGAAAACAAAGTTTCTGGGAGCTCTTTGGATGGATGGAGGTTGTCACTGACCCACAAGGACTAGGCTATAACTCTTCCTAGGCAACTGCAACCTTTGTGCATCCTAATGGAAATACCTTTGGTGCTGTGGGGATATGCACAGCCTGGAAAGGAGGTGCAGTCCTGAGTCCATCACTCCTAGGCTGCCCATCTCTGGGAGGAGAACCTGAGGGTCTGACTGCTTCTTCTCTGTGCTGTCTCCTCCTTGGACTGAAGTATACAGGCCTTGTATGTTTTGAGGAGATTCTTGGGGAGACTACGAATGGACCTTTGCCTCTTTCCCACACTTTTCCACCAGTGCTGTCAGTGTGGGAGCACAGTCCACCTCTAATTTTCAGGGCCCTGGCACATTCCTAGGTTGCTCCTGCATCCTTCCTCCCATGCTTTGTGATGGAGCTGTAGACAGAGAAGTAGAGAGGCCGTGACCTCAGTGCCTAGGAGCTGAAAGTCTTTCCTGCAGACACCTGCAGGCCCTGTCAGAGTGGGAGCCTTCAAAATTCCCATCTCTGCTGGTAGAAAAATAAGTACAGTTGCCTTTACAATTATGGTGGGTTCATGTCTAACAAACCCACTGTAGATTGAAAAAGTTTAAGCTTAAAATGCATTCAATACATCCAACTCACTAAACATCATAGCTTGCTAGCACAGTATTAGTGTTTCCCCTGGTGATCACATGGCTCCCTGCCACTGCCCAGCTTCATGAGATAATTGTACCACATATCAATAGACTGAGAAAAGATCAAATTCAAAGAATGGTTTCTGCCAGGCGTGATGGTGCACGCGTGTAATCCCAGCACTCAGGAGGCTGAGGCAGGAGGATCGTTGTGAGTTTTGAGACCAGCCTGTACTACAAAGTGAGCTCAAGGCCAGCCTGAACTACATAGTTAGACCCTGTCTCAAACAAAGGACAAAATCAAAAACAAAAACAAAAAAACCAAGAAACAAAGAATGGTTTCTACTAACTACGTGTTGCTTCCACACATTGCAAAGTTTAATAATCAGAAGCTTAGATATTGTAAACCAGAGGCTATCTATGTGTTGATTACCTTAAAAAGTTCAGTTTTCTCTTTTGTTTTCTCTGTGCTGACCAGGTGAGGGTGTGAGATGGTAGGATCTTTCAAAGGTCTGCATTGCATGCTCTGGAAGCGCAGTGGTGAAGATGTGCCATCTTCCTTTGTTCCTTCTTTCTCTGCTCCTCTGCAGATCCACAAACTCACTATTATGTTGTGGCTGTGGTGAAAAAGGGCACCAACTTCCAACTGAACCAGCTCCAAGGCAAGAAGTCCTGCCACACGGGCCTGGGCTGGTCTGCTGGGTGGATTGTTCCTATTGGTCTGCTGCTTCCCTCTGGTTCTCTTGAAGCAGGTAAGCCGGGAGGCATTGGGTGTCCTCAGACAGTGCTCCTACACTAGTTGCCCAAATGGGCCATGTGTGGACCCTACAGTCATTGTCACATGTATATGTTCCATGTTTTCCAAGATGGGATGAGGGTGTGTGCACCAGCAACCCATGGAAGCTGGCGTCCTCAAGAAAGGTGCTTCTGTCTCTCTGAGCTCCTGTTGGTCCTGCCTTCCTGGGGCCCCAGTAGCTTGGCTTGACAAGGAGCCATCCTTGAGGCCCACTTATGAAGATTACCTTCCTCCCAATTTCCCAGCAAGTTTCCCTGGGGCTTCCGATCACACTGGCAGCACCTCAGGCCTCCATGCCTAAGGTGAGGACTGGGGATGCAGGCACAGGAGGGATGGCTACTCAGGCACAAACTTCTTGTTCAGTTAGGATGGTCAAGGTGAGCCCTGGGCACCTTTTCAGCCCTTGAAGATGATGGTCAAATCCTGCTGTCTGCAAAAGTGCATCTTCCTGAGCTCTGCCATTATCTACAATGTTCGTGTTGCAGCCATGACAAGGACAAGTGGCTGCAGGGATCTGATGAAGTGCTGTGGCCTGGAGCACATATCATTCCCTTTCGTGGGGTGTTTACCTGCCTAAGTGATAGGTATTACTGGACATCTGTCTGAGCAGTTGTCCATTATGCCTCCTGCCCCATCACTAGCAACCTGTCCCACCTCTGTCACAGAAAAGGGACCCCATGAGCCACCCCAGCTCCTGGGTGCAGAAGGAACATGCAGGGGGCCTATAGTCTATGATAAGGAAGGATTTTTGGAGACTGGCTGGCCTGCAGGTGTTCCTGCCCTGTTGGGATTACTGTCTGCCTTCTTAGGACCTGGGGTTGCTGAGCTGGCAGAGTGAGTGGAACTGGGCCATGGCTTGATTCAGTGTAGGTCAGCCGCTCTCACACCTGCAATGGGAAAACTGGAAACATTTTTGTAGACCTGAGCCAGGAGCCCACATAAAACAGTGGCACTGTGGGCATCACTCACTCTGGCAGGCTGCACCCAGCTGGCCATGCACTCTTTTCTCCCAGCACCACTCTGGGAAGTCGGCAGACCTCGGGCTCGTAGGGCCACTCTCTCACATGTGTGCATGTCCTGAGGCCCTTGCGGGCTCATACCCTGTGGTCCGTGTGTCTGTGTTGAGCAGGAGCAGCTGAGTTCTTCTCTGGCAGCTGTGTCCCCTGCACAGATGAGAAGAGGTTCCCCAGACTGTGTCAGCTGTGTGCAGGAAAAGGGACTGACAAGTGTGCCTGCTCCTCTCACGAACCATATTTTGGCTACTCAGGTGCCTTCAAGTGAGTGAGATCCTCTGGTCAGCCTCCCATTGCCTTTTGGGAACAAGAGCACAGAGTGGACAGGGCATGCCCTAGGGTTCTACAGGGTCATGTGATAGCCTGGGTACTGGGTGCTTCCCTTGGTCTACCCTCACTCCAAACCTGTGTGGGATCCTCAGGTCTCCCCAGAGCTTGGTGCCTGCTGTGCTTCTCTCTAGGACCAGGGATCAGACTGGGGCCTGAAGACCCAGACCTGGGCTCTTGGTGTGGCCAAAGGCCAAGGCCTCCCAGTGCTCCTCCTGGTTTGCATCCCTTGTGTCAGGGACCTGAGGCTGCCTCAGTCCTCTGCAGGTGCCTCTTTGTACTCTATGCTCTGTAAGAGAAATGGCTGCTGCTCATATCTAGAGAGACACTGATTGGAACCCAGGGCTGACCAATGTGCTGGTCATCCATATATCTGACTTCAAGCCTTTAGTCAAAAGCAGACAAAAAGCCCTGTTTCTTTTAACTGCTTTCTAAGAGGAAGGTAGCATCTTTCCCCCACCCCACCCCCATTCCTCCACAGGGGTGCCGAGGATGTCCTTCTCTGGGGCTCCTGCTAGCTTCAGATCTGGCACTGGCTGTAGCATACAAAGGCCACTCAGAAAAGTGTAGCCTCTATAAGAGGAATTGGTTCCCAGGAAACTTTGGCCAAAGCCCCATGAGCCAGTAGCCAGGCAGACCCTCAGGGTTCTGCACCAGAGACAGGTGAGGCCTGTGCCTGAGGTGAGGGCCTGACCATACTGTCCTGTTCCTCAGGTGCCTGCAGGATGGCGTGGGGGATGTGAGCTTCGTGCGGCATCTGACGGTGTTTGGTAAGTGCTGGGTAAAGAACCAGGTGGGCCCAGCTCACTAGGGAGACTGGCTCTTGCCCCAAGTTTTCCTTACATCTAGAGATGAATGATGGTGAGGGGTTTAATCCAGAGGTGAGTTTGTGTGTTTCTGTTGTTTGTACTTTGGTGCCCAGTTTGTTTCTCTTGGCTCATCTCCTGTTGAACACCTTCCTGCATCAGGGACCTGTGTCTACCTCTCTCCACCATCTCTCAGATCCCTTCAGGGACCTTTCCATGAGTCCAGTGAACAAGTTTTCAAAACCTTTAAACTGCTAACGTTTTGCTTTGTGCTGGAAATGAAACCCAGGACCTCCCACGTGCTAAGCTAGTACAATATCACTGAACTATCTCCTGGCTCTAAAATCAAATTTTAATAACCAGTTCTCCCACTCATTAAAAATTTAATCACAGACAAATTTACATTTCATTGTAAATTTCTATGTGCTCCAAATACCTTAAGCCAATACATCTTGAGAAACACAAATATTTCTGAGCATGTCAGCACATTTAGAGTTAAATTTGTACAAGGCATTGTTACCACTGACAAAAAAAAATAGCTCCCATGTTGTTGTGTTTTCAGCTGTGTGTGAGCATGTGTGAGACAGAGAGAGAGAGAGAGAGAGAGAGAGAGAGAGAGAGAGAGAGAAAGAGAGAGAGATTAATGATTTAACCAGGGCTTTGTGCATGCTAGATAAGAAAGCCATATTCCCAACTTTAGTTCTCCATTTGAAAAAAATGCCTTTTTAGTATTCTAGACAATTTGCTGGAAGTAGACCAATAAAAGAGCATTTTAGCTAAGTAGAGTTTGCAGGTTCTCGGTTTTATATCGAGAGTTCATGTTAATGATCTATCTATCTATCAAATTGATGTTCATTGTGCTAAGCTCACTCTGATAACAATGTCTGCTGTGTGCAGGGGTTTTCAGACCTCACAAGCTACGCTGGCTTTAGTCCTTACCACCTCGGGTCCTTTCCTAACTGGTGACATCAGTGTCCTTGTTCTCTTTTCAGCCATGCACAGTTCACTGTCTCCTCATTATCACACACTGACCTGGTTTGTTCACTGTTTGGCAATTGATGCGTGTCTTGTTAGCAGCAATTTTAATCAGTGGGGTCACCTCTGGGTCTCATCTTCCAGAATTAAGTTTCTCCAAATGAGCATCGTTATGTCCTGTGAATGCTCCAGTTACTGCAGTTATGTCGGGGCGGCAGCATCTTTCAGCATCGCCAAGAGCTTTAAAAGGTGCACTTTGTTGCAGTGGCATGTTGTTCCAGGCCACCCTGATTTTTTGTTGAAAATCCCTTTTCTACTCTTCTGTAAGACACCCGCTTGCCTTTAAGGAGAATCTTGGGGGAGACTCCATGCGTGGCCTTCAGGCTGCCAGGGAGTGCTGGTGGTGAGCCACGGTCTGCTGCTGCCACTGCTGGGCCTTCAGGTGACCAATGTTCAAATGTTACTTCTTCCTGAGATCATTGTATCATATTGGTTCTTTGTACTTAATGCTAACATTATTAAATCATGTAATTTTTTACTTTTAATACACAAATTTTAAATTAGTATTATTTTTTTGAGACAGGGTCTCACTGTATAATTCAGGCTGGCCTTGTATCACTACATAGCCTAGGCTGGCCTCAAACTTGTGGCGATCCTCCTGCTTCAGCTTCCCAAATTCTGGGATTACCGGTGTGCGTCACCATGCCCAGCTTAAGTTATTTTCTTCATAACATGCTGTATTAAAATTGTAATCATTCCCAGGCTCTAGTTGTACCATTTATCTTCCCATGTGAGACTGTATCAACTTCATAGACCTTTAGTGTCCATTTGCCGGGACCACCAGAATGAAAACTGGGTGGTTTAAGCAATAGACATGTACCATCTCATAGTTCTGGAGGCTGGACTTTAAATGTGTGGGCAGGGTTCATTTCTCCTGAGGGCTGTGAGGGTGGCTCTCTCCATGCCTCTTTCCTAGCTGACTGCTGTCTTTGGTGTTCCTTGGTGTGTAGACACATCACCCCATCCTCTGCCTTCACGCATGCATGGTGCTCTCTGCACATGCATGCCTCATCCACATTTCCCTTCTTCCAAAGACATCACTCGTATTGGATTAAGGGCCCATTCTACTTCACTATGACTTCTTTAATTGCACCTGCAAAGAGTCTTTTCCTAAATAAGAAATGTGGGGGAATATTCTGAGCCACTGGAGATTAGGACTGCAACCTATAAATGTATTGAAGCTGTGATACCTTTTAATACCTATGCAATGGGAATCAAGAGGCCTCTTCCTTCTCAGCCTGCCCACTGCCCCCAGAGAAAATGCTGCTGTTTTGGTGGGGGAACTGGATTGTCCTAGCATGGCAGTGTATCAGACTCACTGAGGCTCTGACCAGTTACCTCAGCTCCCTGACTCTGGCTCCTCATGTCAAGAATGGGCTAATTATAGGCCAGTTGTTGTGAAGATGACATGAAGCCAAGCACGGATGCCTCGAGCACAGTCTTTGGTGGACCATGAGTGCTCAGTAAGCATTAAGTGTCACCCTTCTTGTTGGTGGAGCTATAGAGAAGCAGGGCAGTGGAGTGGGGGAGGCAGGCATGCCTCCAGGCCCTGTGTCTACCCCAGCTAAGGGTGAGAAGCCTTCATCCCACTGCCAAAACTGCCAGTTCCTCCTCAGTGTGAATGTGTTTGGAAGAGACTCTGTCCCAGTCACCTTCAGGTTACACATTTTGTGGTTGAGGAAGGAGGGGGCACCGCAGCTCATGGCTCTGTGTGCAGTCCCCTCACCTGCTCTTTCCCTCCCCAGAGGCCCTGTCTGAGAAGGCTGACAGGGACCAGTATGAGCTTCTCTGCCCCGACAACACCCGGAAGTCAGTGGATGAGTATGCGCAGTGCCATCTGGCCAAGGTCCCTTCTCACGCTGTTGTGGCTCGGAGTGTGGACGGGAAGGAGGACTTGATCTGGGAGCTCCTCAGTCAGGCCCAGGTATCCTCACCTGCTGTCCTCCTCTCCTTCTTGGATTTGGAGTTTGCCCTCTTGCTTCCTTGCCACTCTAGAAAGTACTTGCAGTGCATGAGCCACTCCCCTGCCGAGGCATTCGGTCTGCCTTCCTGCAGATTGCAGGGATCATAGAGCCCTTGACTGGCATCACCAACCCAGAGCCTAAAGCCTCTCTGTGGAAGCTCCTCTTGCCTCACTTTATTGTTTTCAGTTCCAAACAGGTCCATAGGATACAACCCAGATGTCCCCTCCTCCTCCAAGAAGTGCTCCTCTTACCCCACTGGCCCTTGATCTCTCCCTCCTGACTTCTTTCCCTTGGGTCCCAGGGCTCTCCTGCACCAATGGCTGTCTCTCCCAGCTGGCTCCTGTTCAGCACCCTGTCCCATCTCTGTCAACACTCTCTGTTCAGTGCTAGGGGATTCAGAAATGAACTAGACAAAGATTTGCCCTTGAATCACTCAAGATGACCATGGGAGACACAAAGAGTACAGCAGCAGATTGCAACTGCACTGTCTGGGTTCATCTAGGACAAAGTAGAAACTGCAGAAGAGAGAGAAACTGATTGGAAGGTTTTATCTGGGAAGATTCCTGAGCCCTGGGGAGTAAGCTGTGTGCACCCAAAGGAAGTGTGTGTTGGGGGAGCAGTTACCAGGGAGGACAGCAGGTGATAACTTCACACGGAGCCTCTGCAAGAACAAAAGCAATCATTTAAAAAACATATAGGCAGGTGCTACTATCAGCTGCAGTCAAGAATGGCTTTGGACCGGGCAGCAGGTGTCATAATCAAAGGGCCTTTTGCTTTATAGGCCAGAAAGAGAAAGGGACCATTTGATAACACAAGCCCTCACATGCCCTCATTCAGTGGCAGGCCTGGGATGAGGTGACAAGCCCAGGATCCTGCCGTCTAGCCCTGATGGCCTGGTACTGGATCACCAGCCTCTTCCAGATGAAGACCACCCCAGGGCCTGGGGCAGTCAGCAAAGGACAAGACAGCCTTGACTGCTGCCCCATGGGAACACAGAGCAGCAGCCCACATTGGATAGGGGTGGCTGCCTGACCCTCACCCACCCCTTCACCAGATCTAGGGGACAGCCCCTGGCAGTGCTGTGTAACTCTCGAGGTAGACAGTGAACCGTTCCCTGGAGATTTGATGATGCCATGAGCAGCAAGGGGAGTGGACTCCCTGGCCTCAGTGTTCATGCTCGGCTCTCATTGTCACCTGTCCTTGTCTGTGGGGAGCTGCTCTAAGACCCCATGGATGTCGGAACTGTGAACAGTACCAAACTGTACACAGATACACCCCCAACTCCTTATGGGTTATGTCGCCATAAACCCATTATAACGTCAAAAAATAGTAAGTTAAATTATCAAAATCAGGATCATCTGTATCATATATATCCAGAGCTACAATAGTTTATTTTATAAATAAGGCAGTGTAAGAGATTATAACAATATGCTGTAATAAAAGTTATTTAAGGCTCATTGTTTCTGGAGTTTTCCATTGAATAATTTTTAGAGTGCTGCGAGCTGCAGGTTACAGAAACCACGGGAGGCGTGACTGTGGATCAGAGAGGAGAGAGTTGACCGGTGTCCCTCCTCCCTGTCTGTCCCTTCACCTGGTTTCAGGTTCTTTTTACTTTTACCTCATTGTCAACCCTTCTCCCTCACTTTTTCTGTTACCCTTGAAACAGAAATACTTTGGAAAAGACAAGTCATCAGAATTCCAGCTCTTCAGCTCCCCTCATGGGAAAGACCTGCTCTTTACCAATGCTGCCCATGGATTTTTAAGGGTCCCCCCCAAGGTAGACGCCAAGCTGTACCTGGGATATGAGTATTTGTCTGCCATTCAGCATCTGAAGAGAGGTATGTAAGGGCCTTGGAGGGGTCGGGCCAGCCTAGGCAGCGTGACAAGACAGGCGAAATTGGGGCTCTCCCAGTGCCTGTGAGACTCACCCAGCTTTACTGGCCCTCAGAGTCCACAGGAGCCACCAGGTGAATTGGGTCAGGAGGAAACTATCTGTTGAGTCTAAGTTACTTAATTACAAAAGATCCTTTTCTTTCTATTCTTCCCTACCTCTTTCCAACTCTCCTTCCTCTTTCCCTTCTTCCCCTTTCTCTTCCCTTCTGGTCCTCACACATGCTAGACAAGTGCTCTATTGCTGAGCGACCCAGCCCCCAACAAAACGGTGTTGAAGACCTTAATATTGTAGACAACCTGCTCAGCTCCAACTCCATTTGACAGGGACAGTAGTCTAAACTGAAGTAGGACCACAGCTACTTCCATGATCAGATGCAGAACTAGAATAGAATCCCAGGTCTTTAGCTTGGCTCCTTCCTTTTACTGGATGCCCAGTTCATTTCATTCCCTTTTCTCTATTTTTTCCCCTCTGTATAGTTAATCCATAGTTATTGAGCATCTACAAAAGGGCAACCCAAGTGTTAGATGTGGTGAGTAAAGATACTGGGTGAGAGGGACAAGCAGTCTACACCCTGAAAGGATGACACCTCACTGGGACCTCCTCCCTGCATGGGGAGCCCAGCCCTGTGAGGGAAACCCCAGAAGGCACTGGTTTGAGCTGGAGCTCAGAGAGGCCCTGTAGGAGGTGAGGCCTGGGGTGAGGTGCACAGGAGCAGGGACCTCTGCCTTCACTGCTCTTCCTGAAAACTGAACACTAGGAACACAGGAACAAGGGAATGAGACAGAGAGAGGATAGCTCTGCTGCTATCAGGAGACCCCTGTTGGGAAGCATTGCAGCCATTTGGGCCTCCCTTGAATCCTGCTCTACTCCACTCCAGGTGTGGAAGTCTCCCAGAGGGTGCAGTGGTGTGCAGTGGGCCCCCACGAGAGGGCCAAGTGTGATGAATGGAGCGCGTTGAGTGGTGGCGCCTTGGTGTGTACCACAGAGGAGACCCCTGAGGACTGCATTGCTGCCATCATGGTAGGAGGGCCCCACTTCCACAGCTGAGCTCAGCTCCTCAGATGCTCTGTGACTATCCAGTGTGGCAGGAGAGGTCTTCTTCAAGTGCCTCCTCCTCAGCCCCCGTACCAGTACTTCTTGTTCACTGGCTGTCATTCTCTAAACCTCCACTCTACCACCTCTTGCACCCTTTCAGCTCAGAGATGGCTGAAATTCAGTCAGCCCAAGACCTGTACTCCTTGAGCCTCGACTGGGGAGTCCAGCAAGTGTGGGCTGTGTCCTACCTAGAAGCCTTGGGAAGCTAGGGTACATTCAGGGTGCAGCCAGAGTTAGTGTGGGCTGGGAATACCGAACAATATTTTCAGTTCTCAATTTTATTTCTGATCCGTAAAAAATTACATAGTGATAAATGAAAAATAATTAAAATAGCTCATAATTTTATCATTCTGAGGTCATGATGTAATTTATGAATGATGGAGTTGTGATATTAACTTTCCATTTCTCCCTGAGCAATTAATATTTTTGTGGCTGGGAAAGATACATTTGTAAATGAAAGACTGATAAACCTAGGAGATTACAACAGTCTTTCTTAACATGAGAGTTTCTAATTTTGCTAAACCCGCTGGCACCAACCTATAAGCCTGAGACCTTGTTAGTTACACAATCTCCTAAAATTGTTAATTGTAGGGGTTACAAATGGATCACTCAGGACAGTGTCTTGGAATTAGAGGGCTTGGCTTATTTTTCCTATCAAGATAGAACCAGTCAAGGAGGCCCCTGTTATACACTGAATTGATACGGTTACTGGAGGATGAGATGTTAATGAAATTCCCTGGAAGAGCTTGGAGAGTTTATGAGTAGTTAGGATTGGGGAAGAGACTGAGATTTCCAAAGGAAAGGACAAGTGGAGTGAAATTTTCATTTGTCTCAGGTGAGATGCTATAATTGATCTCATGAGATTGATATTCTTGGGGCTCTTGATAATAATGGCTTAGTTTCACTGAAAAGTGTTTTCCCTAAAGGAACCATTAAGTGTCGTCTCATGGTTATGTCAAGGTGAACTTGAAATAAAAAGGAAGTTTCAAGGGTTTTAGGACCAATAATTGTGTGGAGAGTTGTAGGGGATTTAGAGAAGTTAATAAAATATGTCTGAAAGAGTTTGGTGACCCTGTCTGCCAAGGTTGTTGGGTATTATTTAAGAGGGTGTTGGTTGAATCATTAAAGGTTGAGTTTAAATCTTGTTATACAGGAAGTTGTGTCTGAGTGTTTGTCCAGGTTGATTTGGGGGTGAGGATTGCATATAAGCTGTAGATGATAGAGATAGGCACAACCAGAAATCTTGGGCCAGAGAGGGATTTGTTCTGTTTAAAATGTCGAAGGTGAGATTGATGGAATGTTCTAAATGTTGAGCTAGAAGTAAATCTTTTTGGAACTGGGATTATCAAACAAGAGAATGTGGTGTCTCATCATTTTCTGGTCTCTGGGACACAATTCCTGACACCTACAATTTAAAAGGAGAAAAGCTTATTTTGACTCAGATTGTAGATTTCAGTCCATTGTCAGCTGGCCCCAAGGTAGAGTAGCATGGGAGAAGGGCATAACCAAGGAGAATGGCTCATGGCATGGCAAGCAGCCTGGGGGAGGAGAGATGGAGACAGACTTTCTAGGTTGCACCCCCAAAGTCCCACCTCCTCTGACAAGGTTTTACCTCCTCATATCACATATAGCCGTAAACCCACCATGGATGTGATACTGATGAGTATTACACCTTCATGATCCAGCCACCTCCTCAAAGCTCCATCTATGAGCACATGATGTAACAGGGAGTATGAGATTGGGTAGATCATGGTGAGTTTGGGGAGGAATGAACTGAGACCTAGTGGTGTAGAGAGGCCTCTAGTGAGGTCTCTAGTGAGGCCTCTATGGCACCTCCAGTTGGGAGTCTTTGGGGAGTAATAGAATAAGGTCAGAGAGGAGCAGGGGATGGGTCATGGTCTGACTCACATTTACCTCATGTTGATCAAACCATTTCTTTTGGGATAGCATTGAGACAGAGATGTAGGCATCAGGAGTTGGGATTTCCACCTGTGGGAAATGTGTAGAGTTGGGGTTTTTTATCCTTAGTTCTAGTCTGGAAAAACTGATCCATGAGGGAAGACCTGAATGTTTTGTGGCCGTCTGTGTGAAAGGGAAAACTGTATAGGGTCCTTGCCAGGTTTGCTTACAGGGTTTGGGACTGAGGGTTTTGGATGTAGGTACTGTCCCCGGTAGATAAGGGAGGGAGTGTTGACATCAGGTTTGGGGAGTAAAGTTTAGGAAGGTTTTGTAGAAGTGGGGTAACTAGGAAGAGCAGTGGTGGGTTGTGTTTGAAAAGGATGTATTGGAGGAGTGTTGCCAAGAACAAAAGGATGCCCATAAATCCATTGGAAGGGGCTGAAGAGATGAGGTGAGTTGGGGTGGCCTGATGTAGGGAAGGCAATGGGTAGGAAATCTATCCACATAGGTTTGGTTTGTAGCATGGCTGTAGTGAGGTAGAGTAGGCTGTAAGGAATGAGAGACACAGACTGTGAAATGTTGGAATAGAACACATCTGGGAATTTTCTAATTAGGAGAGCTGCTGCCATTAAGCTGTGAAGACAGCTTGACCACCCAGGACCACCTTATTAAACTGTTTTGAGAAGTAGACTATAGTATTTTTGTGCCAAAAAAACTGAGCTAGGAGCCCAAAAACGAAGCCCTTTTTGGCGTTTATATATAGACAGAAAGGTTTTCTGGGGTTTGGGAGATTTCATGTTGGCATGGAAGTGAGGGCCAATTTTAGTTGGTTGAAAGCAGAAGACAGAGGAGGGAGAAAAAAGGAGTGTCTGGAGTCTCTTGAGGTAGCATCATACAGAGCTCTGCTCAGCGATAAGCTGAAGTTTAGAATCTCCAGACAAAAGTAATCACTGAGGGCCAGGATGTAGCTCAGGTGGCTCAAGCACTCTCCTGGTAAGTGTGAGGTTGTGAGTTTGATCCCTGGTACTAAAAAATAGAACAAAATAAAATAGAAACAGTTAATCACTGAGTCCCCCAAAAGGAAAAGCGGTCAAATTTTGACTATGATAGGGGATCTGAGAGATGAGGGTTTCCTGGCCTTGTATGATTCTCTTAAGAGTAGAGGTGATGTGAAGTCTAAGGTAGGTGACCTCAATCTTAAACAAGCGGGCCTGTCTGAAGATACCCAGTATCTCTTTAGTGTTGGGAAGTTTAGTGTTAGCAGTATCTGTTGTGCATAAGAGAGAGAGAAGGGCTGTATGGTAATAGGTCATCATCATATTGGATAGGCAGCTAGGGTTTAGGGGAAGAGATAAGAGGTCTTTGGTTAGTGTTTGTCCAAAAAATTATGGTTGTTGCAGAATCCCTAAAGGTCAGTTTAAGTAAGTTGTTGGGAGGTTTTGGTGTAAAGATTCTTCCAGATAAAGTAAAGGGATTTGGGGGAACTGGGGTCAAGAGGGATGGGAACAAAAACTATCTTCATGGTCAAGAACTGTAAAATGGGAGGCAGTACTGAGAAAACAATGCTGTGTGGATTAGGCACCGGGGGGTGATAGTAAGAAGGGTTCATTGATAGTGTGTAGGTCCTGGACTACACAGTAAGTTCTATTTGTTTTTATGGCTAGGCTAAGGGTGATGTAAGGAGAACTGATGGATCTAAGAAGCCAAGGGAGAGGAGTTTGGAGATAGTGGACTGGGGTCCCTGTGCAGCCTATGGGTTAAGGAAATATTCTGTCTTGTTGGGGAAGAGGCAGGGTCTTTGAGGGTAACCTTGATAAGAGTGTGATGAGAAGCAACTAAGGAGTACTGAGCTTTCCAGCTGATGTGGTTGACTTGTTGGGGTAAAATGGGAGGTGAAGTTCGTGGAATCTGGGTTGAGGAGGGGAGGTGAGCTAAGGAGAAGGAGCATAGTCAAAGGTTGGGGAGCGCTGGATGGTTGTGGGAGACTGTACTTTTGAAAGTATATCTGGTCCCATTAATGGGATGGGACAGGTTGGGCGTGCTGGGAAAATATGTGAAAATTGTTGTTTTCAAGGTGCAAGGCAGGGGTGTGGTACAGAGTGGTTTGGAGATAAAGCCATCACCGCTACAGTGGAGACAGAAGAGGGAACTAGAAGTCCACATATTTCTGTAAAACCAAATATGATATTCCTGTATCCAACAGAAAAGTGATTACTTTACCCGCTACCTTTAGACAAATCTTGGTTTCTATTTTGTGGATGGAGGTTCAGAAGTTTTAGAACTGGGGTCCAGTTACTTGTCAACAGCAGGTCTCAGCAGACTGGGAATGAACAGGATATAATTGGCCTTGGATTTGGAATGGCTGGCCCCCTTCCTGGAGGTCTGGGGACAACCTATTTATACCTTTAGCTCTGGGGAGGAAAGGATGGTCTTGCTTGTTTTTTTGAGACAGACTCTTGCTTTGCAGTTCAGGCTGCCTTGAATTCATTATATAGCCCAGGCTGGCCTCACTTTCATGGTGCTCCTTCTGCCTCAGGCTCTTATATTACAGGCATGTGCCAACACACCTGCATCGGGAAAGGATTGGTTGTTTTTTTTTGGGGGGGGTGTTGTGTTTTGTTTTTGTTCTTTTTTTTTTTTTTTTTTTTGGTATAGGGGATTGAACTCATAGCCTCGTGCTTGCCAGGCAGGTGCTTAATAGCTAAGCTAAATCCCTGGCCCTGAAAGAATGGTTTTTATGTCTACTTTTATCTTATACTGCTATTAGTTCTCATTAATGTAATGTTTTACGGCTGTACAGTAGATGTTGGGCAGAAGTGTGTTGTTATCAAAGAACATTGGGGATTTTAAACCTCTTATCACCATGGCTTCCCTGATGAATCAACAAAATCAAATCATTGAGAAGAGACAAAGTTGTCATATCTGTAACTCCTTTGAGCTGATGTCCTTAAGGCTTGTCCTTTTTTTGAGTTTTCTGATCATCAGAGGTAGGGTGAAGCTGAGCTTAAAGTTGAGACTTAAACTGGTGAGACCCAAATAAGTTTTTGTAGTAGGTTTAGGCATTGGTTTGAGGCTTATTATTGGGAGCTGTGGAATTCCAAAAGAAGTAAACTGGAAGATAGTTGTACAAACATGAACCAATGATGATTATCTAAGAATACTTATTAGTAGCCATTTTTACAGAGAACAGTTTAAAAGCCAGACCTAAATATTATCTTTTGTGATAGTTACAATCAGGCACTTAAGCAAAAGAATTCTTCCTTACAACCTCTTTGATCTATTTATCTTTTTATGGAGTTGACATAAGTGACTCCATTTTGATTTTGACAGCATTCATGTTTTTAACTATCTCCTCTTGTCCTGAAGGCCTTGTTAATTAGTCATCAGTTATTGTTGTCTCTCATCTTTAGAATGCTGTTCTGGTTGTTGATCTTATCTGGTCTCATTGGGAGGTAATTGATGATTTAGAGTTAGTGTCACAGCCCCTTGTCACTATATTGGAGCAACAAAGAGATTTAAAAGGAGCAAATCTTACCTTTAACCAAACCAAGAGTAAATAGAGAAAGAATGAACATGTATTTGCTTTTATAAAGGTCATTCTCTGCAAATATTCTGACAGATACTCTGGATTTCCTAGTTTTTTTTTTTTTTTTTATTTAAGAGGAAAAAGAGAAAAACACAAAACAAAACAAAGCGGTGTAAGGGTACACGTAATATAGAACTACAAAAAAAAAAAAACATAACAGTAAGAAATCACCTGTTAATAGATTACATATTATCATCTTGAAAATAGTTGCTCAAATCACATTATCAAAGAATACAAGGTGGACATTCAAACAGGGAGACTGCAAACAGCTGTGTTCAATGATCCAAAAACATTGATATAGTCAGCTATTTAACACCCCTAAACACACTTGCAGGGTTTTTTTTTTCCTTACAGTCTTCTTCACTGCTTTTTTTTTATGTTTGTTTTGTTTCTGGTAATGGGGATCAAACTCAAAACCTCGAACTTGCCAGGGAGGCATTTATGCCACTGAGCTAAATCCCTGCCCTTGTTCGTTTGTTTTTGTAACACGTTTAGTAGCTGCTTGGATTTGAAATTTTTCCTGGGACATTTTTATCTCAGTGTTAATTCACAGATGTTACATTTTCATTAGAAATGGCTAAAAAACAGACTTTTAAATAACCTTGACAGTAAATTGTCTTAGTACCAGCAAAAAGTAGAAAGAAGAACAAAGTCATTAGCTATTACCTAGGGCTGACAACTTTATAAGACCTTGAATGACAAAATAAGACTTTATGTGACCTCGAATGACAAATCATCTCAGTACAAGCAAAAACCAACAGAAAAGCAAATCAATCCTGGAACTGTAGTTTGAGAATCATTCTAAAGCTGTTTATAAGAAATGTTTTTGGCAAGTCTATCAAACAAAAATATTAATTTAAACTACAGAATTATGGGTGGTTAGGAAGGCTGCTTTGTTTTTTAGCATCCTGGAATAATCTTACCTTTCTATCTGTCAGGACCCAGCGTAGGCTAGCCCTGTGTAATCCAAGAGCCACTTTTTACTAGACAGTTGGTCTTGGAATTTGACTTATTCCTAATACTAACCTGTGTTTAGATACAGCTTGAACTCAGTCTGATTGTTTAAACCCTTTCCTTTAATCATTACCTTTGGGCAGTGTTTTCCCTTGATATTAATGTTTCATTTTATTTACATTTTCCCCCTGTATTTGGTATGGGCTTAGAGTTTGGGATTTAGTGTTTGAGGTTGTTGCCATGGGTGGAGGATGCATACCATGGGCAATGTGATCTTACACAGATTTTTTTCTTAATTATATTGTTTATTAACAAACCGTAGTATTTCCCCTAAGCTCAGGGGTTGGAGAAACATCCCATCAGGGAGAAAACTAAGTAGATTGGTATAGGCAGCTGCTTTTCAGTGGGACCTTGTCTGGCATATCCACGGTTGATTATAAACACATATTAACAGGCAAGCAAACACATGAGACATGTCAGACAGTTTCTTCCCTCCGGGATACTAATTTTTAGGAGAATCACAACAGGGATCTCCTGTAACAGTTCTGTTAACTATATAGAGCTATGGCAGTAAGAGTTAGAAGGCAGAAAGGCCATCAGAGTATGCAAGGGGACAGAGACTACTGAAAAGGTAGTTAGGGAGGAGAGCCTAGATGCCAAACAGGCCTGAGAGTGGCTGAAACCCAGACATTTTCAATTTGTGAAGAGCCAATAGGGAGAAGGCAGCTTGGATGTGGACAGTGTCCTTTGCCCCTGCCACATCCTGGAGGGGAAGCGCAGAGGCCCACTGAGCTTCTGGTTTAGGAAGGAGCTGATGGATGAGAGCGAGCAGAGAGTGTGCGCAGTGGGCAAAGAGGAGGGCGAGGAAGGCGGGAAAGGAATGGGAAGAACCCTCTGAAGCTGGGGGTGAAGAAGGGGTGGCAGGGGTGTCTGGTGAGGGGCAGGGTCTGCAGGATCCAGTTCAGGGTTAAGGACAGAATTGGAGTCGGCGTAGGTTGGTGATGAAGAAGGAGAATTTGGGAAGTAGTACAGGATTAAGCGTTGACTGAGAAGGTAAAAGAAAGCCTATACACTTGCCACTGTGCTGGATAATCAGATTGTCGAAGAATTTGTAAGTTGAAGGTCTTGCATTTAGGTTATTGATTATTATTTATTAATAGCATTACAGAAGGACACCTTTTTTTGTTTGATGTCTCTTGATTTGTTTGATGTCTTCTTTCTTTCTTTCTTTCTTTCTTTCTTTCTTTCTTTCTTTCTTTCTTTGTACCAGGAATTGATCTCAGGCCCTTGTGCTTGCCAGGAAGGCACTTATGCCTCTGAGTTATATCCCCAGCCCTGAATAGAGGGTTTTTAGGTTTTTAAAGAGAAGGAACACAGGCATGTCTTTGAGCAAAGGGCCAAATTAAAATTGTCCATAGTGGAATGGGTGGGTTCTCTAGGTAACAGGAAGACCAAAAAAATGGAGACACAGCTTTTTTTTCTTTACTTCAGAAAGGAGAAGCTGACGCCATGACCTTGGATGGAGGATTTATCTATATAGCTGGCCAGTGTGGCCTGGTGCCTGTCCTGGGAGAGAACTATGGTAAGCAGTGGGCGGCACTTCTCTGTGCATTTGTCTCCCTGCCCCATGGACAAGAGGGGACAGAAATAAGGAAATGATATAGTTCTGCAATAGGACAATAATAACTATTGCTGGAGTATAGGGCGCTCATAGGTAAAATCCTTCTTCCCAGAGTCAGAACCCATTAAGACATAGTTAAGCAAGAGTTAGCAGAAAGAGCTGAAAGTAACAGTGAGGGAGTGGTGAGGGGGGCCTGGTGCAGAGCCAGCCCGAGACCCTTTCCTTCTCTTCAGGAGTCACCTGCCTGAGAATCGAGGAGATTCTGGAATAAAACCTAAGATTCTGGAAAAAACCTAAGCAGGATACAGGGGCTTAAAAAAACTCAGCTAGTTCACGGCCAATGAGCTTGCTTAGTTAGTGGTTCTCATTTTATTTTTGCAAGTTGACACTGAGTAGCTCACACATTTGGGTGGAGTCATGTGAGAGTTTAATGCTATGAACCTTATGTCTGTCTTTCTTTTTAGGAACTAAAGGTAGCAAGGAGCAGCTTGGGTCTAAGTGTGTGAGTACACCCTTGGAAGGTGAGTGAGAATCAGTAACACAGGGCTCCCTTATTGGGGAAAGGCCAAAGAACGCCTTAAAAACAAGCAAAAATTATGCACTGTGGTGGGGAAAATATCAACAGTTCATTGTTGACATGCAAATCTGTCCTAAAACTGCACTGATTGTATCTGTAGGCTACTGTACAGTTCATAAAGGACTCTTGTTTGCAGTGCATCCATTTATTCTCTTCAGCAACTCTGCAGTGTAGGCACTATTCTCCTGTGTCACACAGATGGGGAGCGCGAGGCTCAGGGACTATGTGGCTTGCAGACAGCCACACAGCCCAGAGGTGACTGCGTCTGGGCTTGAGAGGAGGTGGAGGGACTGGAAACTCTGAGCCCTCCTATACTATCCTGTCATATGCAGCCTGCCCACCTCTGCAGGATGGTCAGCACCAGGCAGGAGTCATGCCTGGCATTTCTGGGGCTGAGTAGAGGTTTTGAGAGGGGAAAAAGGAGACAAATGAAACTCACATTTTAGCTTATAGCCTGCTGGAATGGCAGTCGCCCTGGTCTTTAGCAGAGAAGTTAATTTCCAGGGGACAGGCTCTTCTGTCTTGTGTCTGCAGAGAGGCAGAGAGGGTCTGTACCTGCCCCTCAAGTGAAAACGATAGAACATCGGTCCTTGGGCCAGTGGCATCACCATCACCTGGGGTTTATTGGAAAAGAAAATCCTTGGGCCTAACTGATCTTAGACCTGCTGAACCAGAAACCTTGTGGATGGCACTAGCAATCTATGCTTTAAGAAACTGAAAGCCACTGTGGTAGAAGTCCAGAGGTGAAAGGCAGGAGCTTACTTGGGTTTAGTGTAAGTTCCTATGAAACAGGATATCTGGAGAGCTGAGGGGGTTTAGAGCCCAAGGCACAGGCAGCATCATATGCATTCTGCCCCCTGCTAAGCACTGGGTCACAGAGGTCCTGCATCGTCCACATACCACAAAGATTCTAGAGTACAGGAAAGTGTCCTTTCCTTGGTCACTGGCAGCAGCTGCAGCTAGGACCACACCGCTCTCCCTCTCCATTGTCATGGCTGATATCTTTGAATTGAGTCCTCCCCAGTCCTAGGAGTGACTTTTCATCAATCACATACAGTATTCTTGTCTGATGATTTAGAGTCAAATACAACCCTGCTCGCTTCAGGAGTATTGGGATTTTTAGAAACTGCAAGGTTATGAAAATGTAGATCAATGAGGATGCTTCAAAGATGGTTCAAACACTGACAAAAAGGCTTCTCTGATGAAGTTTCCATCTGAGTAGAGACAGAGGGGGACCTGGTGTGTAATCAACACATACACATGCACATAAAGATGGAAGACAGTAATCAATGCCAAGCCAGTGCTGGTGGCAAAGGCTGGTAATACCAGCACTCTGGGAGGGTGAGGCAGGAGAATTGCAAGTTCAAGCCCAGCCTGGAAAAATGATTGATTTAGTGAGATTCTATCTCAAAATAAAAAATAAAAAGGACTGTGGATATACTTCAGTGAAAAGACTCTAGGTTCAATCCCCAGTACTGAAAACAAAACAAAACAATGCAAGAGGAACATCTGAAGAGATGCCCTGCAACTTTATTTGGCTCCTGGACTGGTATAATAGAGCCCACTCAGGTAGGTAAGGAATGGCTATGGCCTCAGGGGCATCTGCTCTGGTACTGCCTCTGTCACCAGCAGCACTCCTAGAGACCTATCAGAGTAATCTGCCCTTCCCAGCCCTAACAGAAGGCTCATGTTAGCACACCGAGTTCCCTTTCTCACTGTCTGGGATGGGTTTCACTGGCACTATTCTACTGAGGAGATATTTTGGACTCTAGGTGCTAAGTGGCTGAAATCATTAGGAAGAACCTCGGCTACCATGATGATTCCCAACCTTCCGTGTGGTCTTCCCACTTGTCCTCATGAATATGTAGAGGTTGGATTGATAAAATTGGGAAGTGGATATACTTCAGTGAAAAGACTCTATGATTCCCTAATTCTAAAGATTTAGGAATCTAATCTGACCAATTCCAGCCTGCACTTCAGGCTTTATTCAACAAGTATCATTCAGTTATATAATATTTGGAGAGAAACACCTGAAATAATAATCATAGTCTCATTAGAATTAAGAACAAAGCAAGAATACTCTCTTCCAAGAAAGATAACCTGTATTATTTTCAAAATTAATAGAATAAAATGAATTGTTTTTAATATGAGGAAGGGAAGAGATTAAATTGTTACTATTAGAAAATGATATTTTTGGAACCCTAGAAAATCAAGAGACATCCATCCAATAGGACATAACTTAGATTCAACCAGTAACAGAATGAGATGTCTGTATCTATTTCTACTGAATTTGAGAGATGTCCTCCACAGCATACTGTTAAGGAATAGAGCAATCTGCAGAAAAGAATGCATGGCAGGATTTCATTAATGTAGCAGGATATGTATGTAAATATATGTGGTTCATGTATGTAGACATGACTGGGGAGCAGTAGGGTGTGTTGGTTTGGTCCAGGACCTAATAATGATAGCTAGGGTAAGAAGACAGGTACAGGATATTCCAGGTCCCCAGAGAACGACAGTCAGGTGCCAGCAGCAGCAGCTCTTGAACACTTTTGCAGAGGACCCTGGAGGCACTGAAGTTGGATCTTGGCACACTATACACACATGTAGACACAGGCACAACTTTTTAATGAATATACTATAATACATTTCTAAATATGAATATTTATGTATACAGATCACATATTATAAAACATATAGGGTTTTTTTTTCCTAAAAGAGCAAACTTGGCCAGAAGACTTGAGTCTTTTCTGAGATGGCCTTGGTTTTTTGCTTGAATGGACAGGCAAAGTGAGAAATAAATAAAGAAATGCTTAAAAATGAAACACTCAGCCGGGGATGTAGCTCAGTGGCATAAGTGCCTGCCTGACAAGTGCAAGGTCCTTAGTTCAATTTTCAGTACCCAAAAAGAAAAAGAAAAAGAAACACTTTTGTATAAGGCATGTGATCATTCTGTCATTCTGTACTATAAACATGGGGAAGAAGGATGCAAGAGAGGAAGAGAGAAGGGAAGGAGTTTAAAAAAAAGGAATTTAAAAAAGTCATGTACATGTACCAACTCTCCATGATGAAGGTAACCATCATGTACTACAAACACCTACCAATACATTTTTAAAAAGAACTTGAACAGTTTTACAAAGCACTCCTTTAAGCAGGAGGGTATTTAAGACGGGGAATTAAATGTTAGCAGAAGTGAACTCGGGTCCTGGAATGACTCCCTCCAGAGTGGAGTGGAACTGACTCCCTAGGGGAGCTGCCACTTCCAAGGCTTCCCCCAGTACCACGACTTCCAGGCGTGCCTGCAGCTGAGATCCAGGGAGAGGAGGCCGGAGCCAATATCTCCTCTGCTGCTGCTGCTGCTGCAGTTCCTGCAATAGCCCCTAATCTGCTAGGGTGGAGAAGGGGAACTAGAAAGCTGCATAGAAAAGTCTCACCCTTCCAGACTTTGTTTCCTAGCAAAGGAGCTAAAGAGGAAGCCAGAGGATCCTTGCCTCATTTCCACCTTCCTTATCTTACAATCCTGTTTTACACTAAGAATATAGCTGCAAGAAAGTGCTGAAAGTGTGGTTTCCGCAATCCTAGCCAACAGAGATGAAATGCAAATAGTGAATACCCAATTCACATCCTTGACCACATTCAGATATCATTAAATGGCCTGGTTGGAGGAGAACTCGTCAGATCTTGCTTTTATTTTCCCTAAACAACAGAAGAAATTGCATCTTGCTGTCTTCTCTGCAAGGTTATTATGTTGTGGCTGTGGTTAAGAAAGCAGACACTGGTATCACCTGGAACTCTCTGCGAGGCAAGAAGTCCTGCCACACTGCAGTTGGTACTTCCGCAGGCTGGAACATCCCCTTGGGTTTAATATACAACCAAACCGGGTCCTGTAAACTTGGTGAGTGTGTTCTGGAGGAACTGTGAGAGCCCCTTCCCTGGGCCTGGGCCTGGGTAGGGTAGAAATTCAGTTCCATTGTGAAGGGCAAAGTATACTCTGTTTTGTTTCTTTTTTTTTTACTGGTACCAGGGATCAGACTCACGACCACGTGCTTGCAAAGTCAGACACTTATGCCGCTAAGCTAAATCCCCAGCCCTGGGCAAAGTATACTCTGGGTCAGGTGGAGCCAATGGCTTAACAGACAGTAAGGGCCAAGCAGGTCCTCCCCTTTCTCTTGGCCCACTTGTTTCTTAGGAGGGCGGGTATCTCTTGGTCCCAAGGGAAGACCTCAGGGAAATAAGCCTATCATATCTCAAAAATGGCTTGGGGAACAAGCAAAGGATGGGTGGAGTAGTGTGTGGGGGTGTATGTGTGTGTGTGTGGGTGATCTTCACATATTTACCAAACTGTCCACTTTCTTAATTACAAATCTACCTTGAAGCCTTGTCCTTCGTTCTGCATCTTTCACGTTTATCTGTCTCTCTTGGAATCCGTGTTGGTCATTTCAGTACACTCTCGTCAGTACCTAAGAGGTTTCTGCTCTTCTTCTTTCCCAACCACATGACAAATCCCAGGTCTGCATGAACCCAATTGCCTGCTCTCCTCTGCAGCTGAGCAGCTGCACACAGCTGGCAAACATCACAATGCAGCAGAACCATGGTCTCAATGGAAATGCTTTAACTACCGGCCTTCATGGGTCCTCAACTTCATGAGTGCCTATTATTGTTCTTTTCCACATCCTACACATTCCATAATTACCTAATGTCCTCATTGTCCATAAACCTCAAAGTATATCCATCTGCTAGTCTTTCTCAGCAGATGATCCATCCTGTACCTGCAGGAGACAGACAAGGCCTCCAGACAGCAGGCTCTCCTCAGTCTCCCCCCTCCCAAGCAACCCTCTATTTGCATTTGGGTGTGGGTCACTTCCCTTCACAGAGCTTCAGGCCCTTAGCTGTTATTTCTTTCCCTGGTAGATCCAAGAATTTCTTGCAATGTATAAGCACTTAGTATATCTTCCATCTTTAAACATTTCCCCTTTCCAACATTCTCCTCCAACTTCTGCAATTCTCTTTCTCCTCCCCTTTACTGCTAGATAAAACCATTGTCTGAACGACCCACCTTCCACTTGCTCCCCAGCTCCCTGCTGCCCGGCTTGTCTGCATCTGCTGCAGGCCACCAGTGACCCCTGTGCTGCCCAGCTGGAACTGTGTGTTCCAGCTGTTTCCTCCTGACTGCTCAGCAGTGTTTCCTCAAATTGCCTTGGAGCACGGAAAACACACTGGCTTGGTTTTTCTCCTACTCCTGCAAGGTCCCCCTTTACTAACTCAGTTAAGGTGTGTTTCAATTGCATAAGGCAACTGTATTCCTAAATCTAACCCTACGCAGTCACATCCGCATGTGCAGCCTCAAGTTCCCTCGGGAGTGCCACTCATAAAAGGCTGGGCACTTGGTAAGTGTTGTCCTTATTACTGATAGTGTATCTGAATAGTGATAACCATCAGGTTCTTAATCCTAGTAAATATTTCTCCTTGGTGCCAGACATGAGCATGTTGAACTGTCTGGTTGGCTATCTCAAAAGCATATTGTGTATTCTTCCCAAAACTAAGTGCATCTTCCTTGCCAAGCTTGGTTGTGTTTCAGGGCTACCTTGGGTGGTAGAGGACCCCACACTTCATCCAGCTGGCCCAGTTGTACATACAGCATGTCAGCCTCCACCTACCTGTCCATTATCAGCAATACTAGTTTCTCCCCCTTCCAGCCATTTCCCGGCCTCTTGCTCTACTGTGGCACATGCTGCCCTCATCTTCCCTGGACCACTGCAATAGCCAGTCACCCTGAGCCCACCTGCCCCTCTGCCAGGCTGATGTTTGCAAGGTACTTATCTGACTATCTATTGCACTGTAACCCTGACCCAGCATTGTCTAAAACCCTTCATTGCCCCTGGAATAAACAGCAGTAGCTGCAGTGATTTGAGAGAGCCCTTGTGGTCTAGACCCTGCTCCGCCCTCACTGCTTCTCTGTGGGTCCAGCCCTAGTGACCTGCATTAAACTCTCTGTGCCATGTTCCCTGGCCCAGCCCAACACAGGCCTTTGCAGGTGCTGCCCCTGTCCGGAAGCTCTCTTCTACTCTCCACTTGGGGGTGCTTAGCCTTCATCTTTCATCCTAAAGCTTCTCCCTAAACGCTGGGCCTATGGAGGGCTCCTCTACCTTCAGTCTTGTGGAACCATATTACTTCTACAGAGTCGGAGTTAGGGAAGGACTTGAATTCACTGGGGTGGTTAACTGAGTTCCGGCTGTTTCTCCATGGGCCGTAGGTTCCTAGAAGGCAGGGCCTGTGTCTGATTTTCTTATTGTGCTCCCTGTGAGCACTGGGCTTGGTGACTGTGTCTCTCTAGACTCTTCCTGACTTGAAGTCACAACGGCAAACCTTGTAGGGAGAGAAAAGGGCAGCCCAGGGCAGAAAACCAACCACAGCTTTCTCTTTTTTACTCTCATGGTGCTAAAATCCGTGTCCCACCCCTCGGCACTGCTGCCTTTTTCCAGGACAAGGTGGACTTCTGTGAGCTCAGATTCTGACCCATCTCGAGTTAGTTTCCCTTTACTTTGCTCCAGCTGAAACTTCTTGTTTTTTAATTTCACAGGTACTTGTTCATAGTGATAAGCTGCTAAGTAACTGCATCTATCTTTACCATTATTCGGACAGTTTCAGGGATGATTCTGAGGCTTCGCTGCTGTCATAACAAGAGCTGACTTTGGGCCCCCTTCCTCACAGATGAGTTCTTCAGTCACAGCTGTGCCCCTGGGTCTAATCCAGATTCCCAACTCTGTGCTCTGTGTGGTGGCAGCAGCAGTCCCAGCCACTTGTGTGCTCCCAACAGCCAGGAGAAGTACCACGGCTCCAGTGGGGCTCTCAGGTGAGTGGTGTCTGTCCACTCCCTTGCTGTCTGTACCTACCAGTGAGTCCTCATCATCTTATCCTTTTCATTGGCCCAGCATCTTGGTGTTGATTTAGAGGGACCCAGAGTCAGAGAACAGAACTGCCACAGTTCTGAGTAGCCCGTATACCTGAAGTCTAGCCGGGTTCTGGAGAAGTCTCCTATACACCCAGGTGCCCAGGGAGCCCACGACCCTGGAGAGGAACCAGAGTGATATATGGTTACAAAGCCACCTCTCTGCTTTAATTTGGCTCCTTTCTTCTGTGTGATTATACTCAAGTCATGGAGTCCATCAGAGCCTCAGTTTAAAATCACAAGAGAGACACCAGATACTTTGCTTCTTATATCTGGCTGATGGATATCATTTAAAAATAGATTTTCCTAGGCTCCTCTACCCACCCAAGAGACCCTTGCTGAGACTTAATATGTGCAGGTGCTATTCTAGGTAAAGTCTTATCTCTGTCCCTGAAAGTCCCTTGGGAAAAGTAGTACAATAAACACATAAAGGATAAGACCCTTCCCAAATGTAAGTGTTGTGGAAGAAACAAAGGGGTTGTGTTAGTCAGCTTTCTGCCACTATAACAAAACACCTGAGCTAATAAGCTTTTAGAAACAAGAGGTTATTCTGGTTCATAGTTTTAGAGAGGCAGTGAGACCTGAGAAAAATCTGGAGGAAGAGTGATACGGGAAGAAAGGTCATCAAGGAAAAGGGAATGGGGTGAGGCAAGTCACGTGGTGCTGAGGCCAGTGAAGAAAGTCTATGGGGTCAAAGTGTGGAGACGGAGGGGTCTGGTGTGTGACCTGCTGGAGCAGCAGGCATTGGCCTGATAGGCCTGCTTAAGATGGTGGCTCTGTTTCTAAGTGTGCCAGGTATTGCTGGACACTTTGAGGCAGTAGGACTGTGTTGTCCAAATAAAGGTATGTGGACCATGTCTGAGACTTTAGAAAGGACTCTTTTATTCAGTCACCAGCAGTCTACTCTCCATGCGGCCCTCCTCAGAGAATTGTTTGTTTCATAGGTCACACATAAGTTACAGAAATGTATGCTGAACGTTAGAGCTAAACTGAAATAGTTTAATTTTTCTTTATATCAGAAAGTACATTAGTATCAGGTTCAATCTCATTTTGATATCATTATGATGGCAACACAGAGGATCTGGAATTGTTCTTTTTTAGAGCCACATCACACCCAGAAAGAGCAATCCTAGCTTCAGTCAGCTCACTCTCCGTGCCTCCTATTCCCTGCTTTTAATTTCATGACTCAGTCGCCACTGCCCCTGCTGACCCTCTGCCCACTGATCCCATGCTCTTCCCTGCTCTCACATCCTCTCCATGTCCTTGCTTTCCCTCACTTCTCCGCACATTTGCTACAACCAGCCACACAGGAAGACTACTTCTGCCCCACCTCCGCCTTTGGTCTATCATGCAGCTGAAACAACTTTTAATTCACCAAATGCCTCCATGCTGCTAAATAGCAAAGCCAGCCAAAGTCTCTAATTGAATGTTAAAGCATCACTGGCCATGCCAATTACTTCCTCCTGGTATATGTATTTTCTATCTTGGCTGCTAGAAGACCAGATTCTTGGATACCTCTCTCCGTTTCCTGATATTGCACCTCGGCTCTTTACTATCTCTACTTCACTTTGCAGTCTTCTTTCCCAGCATGCTGACATGCTCTAGGGTGCCATCCTTGCATCCTTCTCTCTTCGTGCCCCACATTTTGTGAGTTTATTTAGTCTCTATCCATCCCTAGCTTGACAGTTCCCAAGTTCACATTCTGGTTCAGGTGTCTCCCCAAAACTCCAAATAAAGCTCCAAGCTCGTATATTCAATGCTTAGTTTATATTTCTTTTGGTTATTTAACCACTATCTCAAATTTGAACATTCAAAGCTGAGCTCCTGAAATGTCCACATTGCCACCCAAATATGCCTTTTCAGTCTTCCCCATCGCAGTTAAAAGAAACCCCATTTTCCCTTGTGGAAAGAACCTCTAAACCTTGCCATTATTTATGTCTCCTCTGTTCTCTCACACTCCATATATGTATGATTCACCCTCAAATCATGATGGTCCTACCTTTAAAAAGGTACCCAGGATTGACCTAACCACCATCTCCACTGATATCATCCTGACTGATAACACCATCTCTCTCTTGATTTTTATACTAACCTAATAGGCCTTTATGCTTTTTTCCTGTCCTCTTTCTCCACACAACACACTGTCTAGGGTTGAAACATAAATCATTAGGGATTCTGCCCAGAGTCCCTAATCATCTTTCATATTACTCAGAATAAAAGCCAAAGTCCCTTTTGCCATTTGTGATCTGGGGAGATCCCTCCTGACCTCATCTCTATTTCCTTTTCTCTTGTATTCATGACTCAGTCGCCACTGCCCCTGCTGACCCTCTGCCCACTGATCCCATGCTCTTCCCTGTTCTCACATCCTCTCCATGTCCTTGCTTTCCCTCACTTCTCCTCACATTTGCTCTGCTCCAATAATCTCAGCAATCTGATCCCCAGATTGGGGACCAGCGCATGCCAGCACGGGGCCTCTGACTTGCTTAACCCCCTTCAGAATGGGAATAAATGCTCTTCCTCCTCACCTGGCCACGGCTTATTCACTCACTTCCTTTTGGACTTCTCTGGGAAATCGCTCCTGGATGCCATCTCTAAAGTCTCACAGCCCTGTTTCTTACTTTGTTTTTTGCAGCACATACTCTGAAGCTTTTGCCATAATTTAGCTACTCAACTTGTGTCACGTCTCTTTTATCCAGTATCCAAGGACTTTTTTGGTGTGAGAAAACCTCAAAAGAACAGGCTTATGCCGGGGGAAGTTTTAATATGTGTTCGAGGGGCTCCCCCCATGTAAGGGCTGAGGGCTGAGTCTCAGGAGGCAGCCAAGGTGCTTAAAGGGGGCACTGCCAGATAATATTCAGGATGTGCACTCCAGATAAACAATGGATGACTTTGTAGTTTGAGAAGACTCTCTACTTCTCATTTGCTCCTTGCTGCAGGGTGGTTTTCTCTGTCTCAATCCACATGGACCAGGGTCCCTGTGTTCTCACAGGATCTCATCTGTAAAGAAGCAAGCAGAGACCATAAAATAGGAGTCTCAATTCTAGGGGGAGAGGGTTGTCAGCTCCTTACTAGAGGAAACCTTCCTGCCCAAACAGGTCATGCAGTGAAGTGATATTTAAAGACACAGCTGCTTCCACTGAGACCAGGTAGATTGAAATGGGCTAAGGCCGAGGGTGTCATTCTCAAAAAAGTAACTGGGCTCAAGGGAACATCTGGGAGCCACAAGTTTGAAAGTAAAATTACACAAATTTTTATGTTTTATAGATTTGAAAAATCACATTACAGTTATGTAGGGTGGCTGGTACAAAACTGAACAACATATAAGTAGAAGAGTTTCCACAGAAATTCACGTGGTGCAATTTGGTCTGTAACACGGATGACATTGCAAATCACTGGGGAAAAGATGAATTTGAGAGATAACATAGAATAGTGCTGAAAACCGGCCCCAGATCTGGTGACCCTGGCATGAGTACTCCGTGAAAACTGGTCCTGGAAGCTGGACAGGGAAGGCAGTATAACTACTTGGTGGTGGTTAGGAAGGTTGATTGCTTTTCAGCATTTGAATGGGCAGGAAAGAAGGATCCATTGCTGAGAGTTGTGTGGGTTAAGGGAAGGATTTGGATCTTAAATAAAAGACAGATAAATGCTGATAAAGGTTTCAAGTGAACACAGGCAAGTTATTACATGAGAGAAAGAGTATCTAGATGCAGAGTACCTGGTGAGACACCTTTGCAGGGGGATGGGAGGAGAGATAAAAGAGACCTTCCTTCTTTTATCTGCCTGGTGAGAGAGAATCACTGGGAACATGCTGGCGGGCCTGGAGGGCAGATGCAAGGAGAAAGTCATATAATGATTTTTGTAGTTCACGGGGAAGCAGGAACACACATCAGAGTATGTGAGTATAGGGGAGGAGCAGAGTGTGGAGGGACAGGTTTGTGGAAGGCGGGCTACTTCAGGGTAGGCCTGTGGCTGTCTGAAGCAGCAGTCCTCACTTAAAGCTGATTCGAGAGTCCCATCTCGAGTTTCTCACCCTGCAGCAGGTCTGGTGGAGCAATCCTTCAGTTTCTAACAGATTTCTCCCTGATACAGATGCTGCTGGTTCCTAGCCTACACTTAGTGAACCACTGATTTACAGTAGAGCAAGGCTGGAAGGAATGAGCAGATGAAGCTAATGATCAGGAAGGTCTCTGTCCACCTAACCTTAAGGGCACCTAGGATAGATGACCATCATGACCCAGGGAGCAATTCTGTGAAGGGGTGTGAAGGAAAGAGGTAGGGTGAGAGACTTCAGTAAATTTGAGCAGGAGTAATTGACTGTAGTGGACATGGAGGTACCTAAAGTCAGGAGAGAGTGAGATGGAGAGAGGTGCTCCTGATCATTAATACTCACTTCCAACTGACTGAATGACACCAGCCTGATTTTTTATGTGTTACTCTTCAAGGTTATATCCTACACTCAGACGCACACTGATCATGGGGTTAGGGGTGAACAAATGTTCAGTTAGGCACATTCTTTTTAATACTAAACAGACACGAATGAGATGCATCTCCTTCAAAGTCACATCTTCTACACTCATTGTAACCCTGATGTTATGAATTTTGGTCCAATCAGAGAGTCATCCCTTGGATATCCCTGTTCCCAAGACAACATGAGCATCTCCTCTAGAGAAACTCATGGTGATCTGAAACGAGGACCTAAACAATGCTTGTCCATGACTTAAACTCAATAGACAGCTCTCTCTTTTTATTCCTGTCTCACTCTACTGCCCAGGGATGACATGGGTGTTGCAGTTGCTTGGGAGGAAATGTTGGATATATGGAAGGGGTGTGATTCCCTCTTGCTGCCTCCTAATCCTCCCTCCCTTCCACTCCCACTGCTCACTGACCTGGCCCTTCCTGTGCAGGTGTCTGGTGGAGAAGGGAGATGTAGCCTTCGTGAAGCACTCTGCAGTACCACAGAACACTAACAGTATGTACCTGCATTTTCTCTGCTACCTTAGAAAACTCTGAGTCTCTCGTGTGGAATCACTATTAACAGGGACATTTTATTAACCTACCAGGACCCAGTGACATTAATAATATAAGGTCATAATAGTTTCAACTTGGGGAATGAGATAATTCTTCCTAAATATTTAGATTCCAGGGTGGACAGTGATTATCACATTAGCCTTGGTCTCAGCAGACAGTGAGGCTACATGTCTGACTTTTGTGATTTATGGCATTTTATATACATTATATATATATATTCTGCATGCAAGTTTCTGCCGGCCATACATATAAAAAAATATCTTGTCCCTCTCTGTGGCTTGTCTTTTCACTTTTTTAATGGTGTGTTTTAATAGAACTTTCTTAATTTTAATATACTTCAATTTATTTATCTTTTCCTTTCTGGTTAGTTCTTTTTCTGGCCTGTTTTAAGAAATCTTTACCCTTAATAAGACTGAAAATTTTCTAACCAAAAAGGTTTTGATTTTGTGTGTGTAGTGACTCCCACACATGTCTCCTCCTGAGGTGAAGGTGCCTTGACCAAGGCTGTCAGCTGTGGCTAATCCAACTTTCTCCTCCCAGGGGAGAATCCCGAGGTGTGGGCTAAGGGTCTGAAGCAGGATGACTTCGAATTGCTGTGCCTCGATGGCACCAAGAAGCCTGTGACAGAGGCTAAGAGCTGCCACCTGGCCATAGTGCCAAATCACGCTGTGATCTCAAGGAAAGATAGGGCAGATTTTGTGCGCAGAATACTCTTCAACCAACAGGTATGGGCTTGCAGGTCCCTCTCTGTGCCAGCCACAGATGCACCCAGCTAGCCTCACACACTCCCTGGTCAGTGGGACCTGGGTCCCCCAACCTTGCCTGTGATTACCACTGGTGCTGTGTTTATGTCCTGCTCTGGGGATGTCTAGGACTGAGAAAAGCTTAGACGTGTGAGCCTCTGAGTATTGGCTTAAGATTCACTTGAGCAGATTCCTGGCACCTTTGTGGACTTGATCAATTACTCCATGAGAGTGAACCTTTTCTTTCTCTTCTGTGTCAATGGTAAAGGAGTTGGCACAATGCCCTTCTTGCCAGGCTAAGCTTAAATGCAGGAAAAGCAGAATGGAAGTTGCTCTGCCTGACCTGTGGGTGGACCCAAATGTGTTTTTGCAAGCTGGGCACTGTTTTTTGTTCTTCATTGTGTTTTAATATTTGCTTGCAATACAGAATAATGATAGCCATCCTGGGGTATTGTTACATTCAAACAACATATCCAGATAATCTTGGGGAAAGCCAAAAGCTTCCTCTGCTTTAACACCAGCTTCCTCATTCTTGGAGGTTCTACACATGAGAAATTTGTGTTTTAATATATACCACACATCCCAGTTAGAGAATCATGATCCAGGAAAAGCTGTCAGCATGAGAGGTTCTTATTGTGGGCTTTTAACATGTTCCTGCCAGATTGAACCACTGATGCTACAAAAAGATCTAACCACTTTTATTAGTCTTTTTACTAATAAAATTAATAAAAAGCCCCCCCCAGAGGGACGTCATGCACCAGTGGTACAAGCCACATAGCAGGGAGGCATACAAATTATGACCCTGTCATTGAACATGTGAAAAGGCATAGATAGACTGTCACCTTGGCCACAGCAAAATGGGCAAAGGAAGAATGGGGAAGGGAACAAAAAGGCAGAAATGATTGAGCACCCAAAGCTGACGCAGATCAGAGAAGAGGCAAGATAGCGAGGGATTCAAGCAGCAGAAAGATGTGGAAGTATGATGCAGAAATCTGAAAACATTTGTCTATGGTTGGCAGCAAAGTGGCAGTCTTGGAGCCTTTTCTACTTACCAGCTGCTTTACATACATCTATTTATAAGTGGGTGAACTAAGGTTCACTGAACTCAATAGAGAATTTTCCTCAAGTTACATAACAAAAAAAAATCAGGGCCAAGATTTGAACTCAGAAACCATGCTTCTCTGTGCACTGCCTAAGCTGCTGCTATGTCTCAGGTTTCCCAGAGGCTGGAGCTGAACAGTCCAGAAGACTCAGGTCTCCCTAAGCAGAACCCACAGCCCCATACTTTCTGAAGCCCATGGTCACTCACTGTCTGTATGTCTGACCCAGGAGCTCTTTGGAAGAAATGGATTTGAATATATGATGTTCCAGATGTTTGAGTCCTCAAACAAGGACCTGTTATTCAGCGACGACACAGAATGTTTGGCAAGCCTAGGGAACAAAACAACGTATGAAAAATTCTTAGGTCCAGAGTATCTTACGACTATGGCTAACTTGAGACCATGCTTACACTCTGGTAAGTATAATGGAACACCACGGAACATACCACAGGGATCAAAGCAAACATGTTTGTATTAAGGACTAGGGTACCACTCCATGGGCTGGTACAAATAGGAACACAAAGATGTGGGGGCTTCCTTCTGCCCCACAAGAAGACACAGAATCACTAGAGGGGTCACTTAGTTAGACCACAATGAAAGACACTATCTGGAAAAGGTTAAATTGTTTGGGGGAGGCACTAAGTACAGTAGACCATGGGGTCGCTGAGGAATTGAACCTTTTGTCATGTGGGCTTCCTTTCTGTTAATAAAGTGAAAATGAGTGTGAACAGTGGAGGACCCCCTGGAACACCCTCCTTAAACAAAGAACAGTTACTTCCACTTTGGCTAATCTGGCCCTATCTCCATGTACGGATACGTACAGAGCTGGCTGGGCCATTTCCTTTGCCCTTCAATTGGCTCTAAGCAATGTAAACTGGGCCTGCTGAGGCACTGATGTGTAATCTTTGAAACTAGGCAACAGTTTCCCCATCCTGTGACTCCCAAAGAATGGTTGAGCCGGGCAGGATGAAGAGCTCCAGGGCTGTCAGCTGGGTTTGAGCCTCAACATAACAGGCGATGACTTCCCATAGCAGAAAAGTTTGCACCTTAGAGCTGAAACATCAGCCCCCAAAACATTAAATGCCACCTCAATTGTGTTATGCAGGTTGGTCTTTCTGCTTATCCTTCTCTCTGTATATTGCAGAGGTGCTTTCAAGTCTCCTACATAGCCCAGCTCACAGGACTCACTATCTCCTGCCATTCTCACAGGCACTCATCCTCAAACCCCTGCTTTCTTCACAAATTAATAAAACCTGGGTTGAGGTCTTTGTTCCAACGGAACTCCATCCTGACTGGATTTAGGACCCCTTGGCTCCTCATGATTATTAATATGCCTTGGTGTCTTTATTCTTACCATAGGTTGCACTGGAAGATTGGAATTAACTTGCTAGAATTCCAATAGCATTCCCACGGGATTACAAATATAAACTTCCCAGACCACGATGAGGATGGGAAGTGAGCACCTCGGTGTAGGGAGAGGGCTTGGGAAATGACACACACTATGTATTCCACCACAGAGGACACTCCCCAGTGGTTTTAAGTGAAATGTATAAACAGTGTTAATAGAAGCAAAAAAAAAAAAAATCAATGCTGCAGCAGGCCCTTTCTCCTTATGCATATTTTAGATGACGTAGCTATATCAAAAACAAGGACTCTGGAGTAATAACATTAGCGATGGGACAATGAAATTGTTGACAGTGTTTCTAAATTTTTGTTGAACTGTATGGAGATGATAAGACAGGAGAAAAGGAAAATTCAGATATTTAAGGTCAGCAGTTATAATGGGATGCAGACTATATCTGTGTGTGTTTTAAGAAGTCTTTATTAACTATCATTTACTGTTAGAAAATGGGAGCAGAACTGTTAGTGAGCACTGGCAGCACCTGATGGTCTTTCCTTGTGTTATTCTTCACAGAACTTCTGGATGCCTGTCTCTTCCACAGGAATTAAATATTGATTGGGGTGGGCAGCCACCCAAATGCCAGGAGCCCCAATATGGTGGGACCAATTCTCATTCATTTCCATGTAGATGTCTGATAATGTCAATTATTTTTCTAATTCTGAATTATAATTGTGCAAAAATTAAAGTTAATAAAAATTACATCTTAGAAAGCTTCATTAAATGCTCTCATTTTTTGGAGAAAAATATTTCTTGATATTAAAATTATGCTTCTGAATTTAATATATCCTTTTGAAAGAACTCTACAGCATAACCTCATTTGCTCTTTTTATGTTTCAATTATTTTACCCAGGAGTCACGTCCTCCAAATGTAATTTAAGCAATAAATCTGCCTGAAGGAAGTCTGAGTGGTGATGAGGTTACCTGATGGCCCTGGTGTGTGCGGGCTTACATAACGAAAGAGAGGAGGGATGATTTTGTGATTTTAAAAGCATATTTTAACATTTGACATTAATAATAAAAAATTAAAATTTTAGCTCAGACTTATTGAAAAATATTAAAATTAATGCAAAAATCAAATCTTATTACTCATTTTGTCAACTTCCTGAAAGTGTGACGACTGATATACTTAGTTCTTTCAGAACAATTTCTTATCACAGATTTTGTAATTTACTCCAGATTACCATTTACTAAATACATAAACTGCTACCTATTTAATTGGTTTCTATAGTTTCACTCTGTGGTAGCACCTCAGTAAATGGAGAATGGGACTTGCGGCCATATGTTAAAGTCAGATTTATGTTTATGGGTGTTTTGTTTTGTTTTGAGACAAGATCTGGTTATGTAGCACAGGCTGGCCTTGAAGTTTCCGTGATCCTCCTACCTCAGCCTCCTGAGTGCTGGGATTGCAGGCATGCCCCACCGTGCCTGGCAAGAGTCAGACTTAGGATTGTGGACTTCACCTTCTGCCTCTGAAAGAGCACCCAGTGCAAGATCTGTGTTCCTTCCATAAACAACTAGAAATCAGAACAAAATATACAAAACAAGCGTTTATGAACAGTAGACATGAGCAGTGTGGGCTTAGGGTCCTTAAAACAAGGGAAACAAAACGTGAGCAGATTATGGCCGTGCTCTCTGCCTGGAAGAAATTTCTAAATTGTGGTACAGGGTGAGGGAACCCATAACCATAACCCACAGCACTGAGTCAAGGAAACAGAGATGAGAAGTTGAGGAGGCCACAGTGGCTGGGATTTGAGGAGCTGAATTACAGAAAGGATGGAACTTCACAGAGAAAGACTCCCGGGATCTGTTTAGCAGTGTCATTGAGTCTAGCAAAATACTTACCTGCATGTGCGTGAGGTGAAATTGAAAAGAACTTGGAACATTTTGACATCTTACCTTAGAGGAGCTAGGAGCAAAGGTGTGCTGGAAAGTCTAGAGAAGTGGAAGTGCTGTCTTTAAAAAGTACCCTTAGGAAACAAAAACAAAAGTGCTAACTCCTTCTGAGCTCCAAGCTCAAACTCCTTATGTACTGAATGAACCACCAAGTCTTCTCTTCCAGTCCGTTTAACTGCCAGGGCTTAAGAGCCCCTTTAAGGGTGTCAGAAAAGACCCTCTTCCCAAACTAGAATTTAGTCCCCAGAGTCAGCAGGAAGAGCCCATGGATCAGGAATTCTTGATCCAGGAATTTCTAGGGGCCAAACACTCAATGACATGTTTCACATCTGGTCCTACACTGTCTTCCAGCAGGCTGTCCCCAGGGCTTCTGGAAGATTCTCCTCTTTACAAATCATCAGGTTCTGTTGCCCAAAGCCTTAGATACTGTTGACTCTAAGACATGAGTTCCTGTCATCTGTTTCTTCTGCAAGGAAAATGAACTTGTAGTCCTAATTGGCAGAGCTGAGAGAGGAGCTTGAAGACTTTGATATAATGTCACTGGCATGAATGATTGCTGTATCTCATCTCCACTCCTCCCTATTCTAAGAACTTGGAAAGATGACCAAAGACTTCAACATATTTGAAGTACTAATAAACCCCACTGAAGATTAATAAAAGCCAGAGACTCACCTTAGTCTCTCTCTCTCTCTCTCTCTCTCTCTCTCTCTCTCTCTCTCTGTCTCTCATATACATACACACACACACAGGTCTTTGCATATATTTTGTGCATTGATTGCTTCAGTTCAGTGATTCTTCTGAAACCCCGTAATCCCTTCGCTCAGAGAAGGCTGGGGATGTTAATCTATTTTTAGGCAAATAATACCCTATAGGGCTGCCAAGACCTAGCTGAATTACACATAAAGACAACTTGTATATATTTAGAAAGGTCTGCCTATTGGTAATATTTAGGACAACTAAAAAGGCAAAATTGTTTGATTATGTACACCAAGAACTGATTGACAGAAATTGTAAGTCTGTAAATCGGTGTAAGTTGGAGGTTTGTTTTGAACACTGGAAACACAGTGAACTTTGAGTTTTCTTTTTCTGTGGAACATCCTCATGGAAAGTGGGGACATTAAACACTGCTTGGCTGTAGGGGCAGTAGAGAGATCAGTGTTCTGTTTGTTTTGGCCCTTGGAGCATTAGACTCTGCTCAGCTTAAACAGCTATCTGTCTATGGATCCCTCCGAAGATCTTAGAACTTAACTTCCCCTGATGAGAGAGCAAGGAGAAGTAAATCCTGAAATAAGTTTGGGACAAAAATGTAATTGGCATTTCCTAAGAAAGTGCCACATGCTGGTAGGAACAGTTCAGGACACTGAGCCCAAATTTGTAGTTCCCAGAATTGCTTGGTAACAGGGCTCAGTTATATCCACTGACAGGGCTCAGTTTTCTTATCTCTAAAATGAACTTGCTGAACTAGCTTCTCAGGGTATGTTTTGTTGAAGGGCCCAAAGCAAAAGAGAGACAGTCATAAAGAAATCAGGCAGAGACACTTCATTAATCTACTGAATATATACTCAGTATGGTGTCTGTGCTAGGGGTTCTTTAATAATGATAGCAATTATCACCATCCACCAGTGACTGTTACACATCAGACAGGGCCAGCATTTCAACAGCAATGCCAGTAATCTTCATTACAAGGGAGGTATTTGTGTTCCTTTTATAATGAGAGAACAAGACGCAGAAATAGATAAGTAACTTGTGCAGTACCAATCAGCTTCTAAGTAACCTAAGACTTAAGCCCAGTCTTTGAATCTAATCCATGCCCATTTTATTATTCCAAAGACTACCTATGACAGCATCAAGTTCCAGTCCTTAAGAATGAGCAGGTGAATAGAAGGACACAGGTAACTGATACATGGGTAAAAATGCCGCCAGGATCTGTCTTCTCCGCTCTCTAGAATGCATTCTGTAAGATCTACTAGTTTGCAATTTGCAGGGATCTTTGCAGGGAGGCTGTGCATGCAAGATTTAAAGCAGGGAGATATTGGTCAGAACAGACAAAAATAAAGAAAATAAGACTGTTTAGCATGGCCCAGGATATAGCTCAGCAACATAAATACCTGCACGACAAAAGCCAAGTTGTGAGTTCAATCTCCGGTACCAAACAAATAAAAGAAGTTTAGGTTACTGTGCCACCATAACTTAATTACTAAGTTAGAGCCCACAACAAATTTATGAAGTAAGCATTAATATTCTCATTTCCTACTTGGGAAAACGGACACTGAGAGCCTAAGTAACTTGCCTAATTCACTATTCAATCTGAAGAACTTCAGGTATTCAAGCAAATGACAAAACCTCTCCTTGTTTAGGCGTCTCTGTCGTCATGGAGCAGTGGGGCCATGACCTCTTGTGCCAGTCTTTGCAGTCGTGACATCCTCCTGTGTTCACCGATTGCTCTCCTACCCACACTACATTGCTGCTTCGTGCTGTGCGTATGGTTTCCAAATACAGACCTGGGAATCATCTCTATTTCTGGGAGTAAACTCTTCTACCTGAGGTTCAGTACCTGATATCCTGACCTGCTTTACAGAATGCTCTCAAAATTCTGTCTTCCTTTCTTCTCCCAAACATCCTTCTTTGTCTCCTGGGAGTTGGTGACTGAGGCTGCTGCTGTGGCAGGAGTGCTCACAAAATTGCCTCACAATTTGGCCTAACTCTGTCCTGCCATGGAGCACTAACTTGAGCCCCAGCCCCGAACTCTAATCTCCTTCCCATTTTTTCCAGGTCTTTCCAGGCATCCTGTAAACACAGCATGCCAGAAAGGGCCAGTATTCCTGCTTGCCCGCCTTTGGTCAAGGACTTTTGCTCCTTTACATGCAGGACTTCACAGAGTCCACGCAGCTCCAGGGTCAGTGGCCTTGTTGGCTATTGGCTTATGGGTTAGTTATAGCTGGGTTAAGTTGAACATTATCCTGACAAGGAAAGGGTTTACTTAACAGGTCTTTGCTTACCAAATGGATTTCTCTGGCTTTTGAAATGAAGACAAACACCCCTAGTCCCTCCGCACTCATCACAGAAGAATGACTGAGTGGCAGAAAAGGAGTCCAGGGCTTCCTGACCCTGGAAGGTTCTGAGCGTCTTCACTGAGTCCTCTCTCTGTTCTGCACCTCACCTGTTCACTGCCCGTCACAGAACCATCCGCACTGTGGAGAAGAAGATAAAAAGATCTCCCATTCTCCTTCTTCCCTTGCTCTTCCCCCGTCTCTCTCTCTCCTCTTCTCTTTCTTCACTTCAAGAACTATGTATTCAGTCTCTTCCCTTTCCTTGACATGACTGGGGCAGGGGAGCCTGAGAAACTGAGGTCGAGAGGCAGCTGGAGGACCAGAAGATTGATTACACACAGGAGAAATCAGCAAGGAGTTAAGGACAGGAGGACTAGGACGACCTGAGTTTCTTACTGCCAGAGAAAGGAGTTGCAACCATGGGAAGGAAGAAATCCACAGCGTATACTGAGGGGTCCTGCTGGAATTGGAGGAGTCACTGGGACACATTCAGAGAAAGAAGGGAGGAGGAGAGGGAAACAGAGAAATGCGTCAAAGTAGGTACATGCATAGATATATGTGTATACATTGTACACATACACACTCCCTAACTCTGTCCATTGAGAGTCCAAGGATCAATGACTCCAAAAGCCAGCATTTACTTTCTAAATAGCATTCTCTACTAGAGGGTAATTCTCCTTAGAAAATTAAGTTTCAGGCTGGGGATTTAGCTCAGCGGCATAAGCGCCTACCTTGCAAGCAGGCAGTCGTGAATGTGATCCCTGGTACCAATAAAAAA